GTTAAATGCTTGGTAGTTGCTCTGAAGAACTCTCCACCTGGACGGCACGTAGGTTGTCAACAGCATTGGTCCCAGTCTGGAATATCCACTGCAAGGTTCCTGAATTGCTGAGCTTAATGACGACCATGTCGTAATCGCCTGCATTGGCGTGGCCCTCGAAGCTTCCAGTGGAATGCCCAGCAAGAACGATATTGCCCGAGCTGTCCACGTGCGCGGCTTCTGCATGATCGGTCCCGGTTGTACCGGTCTGAAAGATCCACTGCAAAGTTCCTGCACCGCTGAGCTTCATGACAACGAAGTCATAATCCCCGGCGCTGGTGTAGCCCTCGAAGCTTCCAGTGGAATGGCCTGCGACCACGATGTCCCCAGAGCTGTCCACCTGCGCGGCCAACAAACGATCGTCCTGGCTGGTCCCTTTCTGGAAAATCCACTCAAAAGTTCCTTCACTGAGCTTTCTCCCTTCGGCACCACTTTTCCAGGTCTCCAAGCCATCTGCACCGAGGTCGGAAAGTTTGCTGGAAGCCTTTGCCTCCTGTCCGAGACACAGGGGCCAGGCTAGAAGAAGCCCGAAGCAGGCCATCAACGCCATCGCGAGCAGGCCGTAGGCCAGACCAACATCTAACTTGGCTGGTCTCAGGCAGCTTCTACTGTTTCGGGTCAAGGGTTTATAAGGCTTAGTCTTGCAATGCCTCGCCTGAAGCTGGCCGAGTTAGGGTGTTGAAAGTCTCTGCTTCTGGAGCATCGAAACCCTCAGGCACAACGCATCGCAAACAGTGAGCTGCGCCTTAGACTCAACCCTGTCCGAAACAGGCCGGTGCCTTCGTAATGTCCAGCTCCAGAACGGAAAAATATGCCTGAAGGGCAGCACCCTTTCATTCCGACAGCGTCAAGTTCGCTCTGGCACCAGGCGTGACATGTTTCTCGTGTGGGCAGTGCGCAACAACTATGCCTTTAATCACCGGTGTAGCCGCACCAGCAGTACAAATATTTGTCACAGCTGTTGTGGCAGGGAAGGATGAAAAGCTCCATCCCCACAAGGGCCATAACTACATGCGAGTAGGAACCCTGATGTCACACAACTCCAACTCGTGCAGCTTCCGTCCTGCACATCGGCTCGGGCTGCAAAGCTCTCGAACTCCTGTGAGCACAAGGACGGACCCTCCAAGCCAAAAGAGCAGCATCCCAGCATACCACTGGTAGCCCTCCTGAAGAGTGATGGTCCCATCTCGGTTTGTGTCCAGCTCCATGAAAAGCTTTCGCAGCTCCTGGAGCGGAGCAAAACTTGGTGCGAGGAGTCTTCGCCGACAGCCTTAAAGGAGCAGAGGTGCATTTATGAGACGTTCGAGCTGAGCAGGTCATCCTAGCCCTAGCCATTCCGACCATTCTACACTTCCAAGTGTACGATCATCAAAGATCCGTAGTGCCCAGTAGGATCCCTACAAATCCTAAGCCAGCAAGTCTTTATTTTCCCCTTATATACAGAGCCTTCTACCAGGGAGCCTGCATGAAACCTGACATGAAAACTGCACAAACCCCAAATCTGAAACCATTTCCGAAACGGTCTTGAAAACAAATACATGGAACCGTATGTTCATTCTGACTGACTCCATAATATGCATCCATTATCAACCCTACCGTTCCATAGACCTTACCCAAAATTTTGTCATGCTCCCTTGTAGCATTTGGCCTTCATGTACAGAGCCATTCGCTCTTGCTCTGCCTGGCGCGTGAATGGACTGCTTTGGCTGAGGGGTGTGCAGATGGTGCAGTGTGTTGGGGTTAAGTGTTGCTTGTCTTTCGCTCTGGCTTTGGACTTTGAAGTATCACGCCGGCACGTCTTCGGCCCCACACAAGAGAAGGTGGCTTCAATTCAAGCCGGAGTGAAATCCTAGATTGCTTTCTGGGCCCCGCCTTCAAGCCGCGAGCCAATAAACCTTGCAAATGTTTCAGCTGATACCACCAAGAGCGCAGAATGCTCCAACACACCCCTATTTCCGGAACATGTAATATAATGAAGGAGCTTTCCGAGCCGAGGGCAAACCAGAATGCCGAATGATACATCCCAGCCAGAAGAGTAGGCAAAGAGCTTCAGGTAGGGTTTTGATGCTCTTGATGCAGCTCGCCAACACCATGCCTGTAAGAATGGCGACGAACATGATGACACATGGAGCTGTTTACATTATGTGCATGTCGTCGGTATCTGTGCATGGCATACTCCGCAAGACGAACACGTACGTTCCCAGAAGAGTTGCACGCGTGTACGCATGTATGCATGCAAGGGAGGCCGAATGCTTTGAACCTATATTATGGACTGAATAGAGACTCCTGATGAGACAATGCATATTTACCTGATCGCCTCGTGGTCTTTATGTACAGACTTGGATGCTTGGGGCTTTTCCAACCTGAGTGACCAGGTCTCGGTCTAAGCGCGACAGCTCTGTGGCACCTCGAGGCTTCTTTGCTGGGTTCTTGGTAGGGGATCTAATTTAAGTTACCATAATAAAGAAACCATAAAATTTACATTAGATCCCCATTATGGTAACTTAAACAAAGTTTGCCCTTAGCAAGAACCCAGCTTAGGGTTTTGAGTTTGTTTTGTCATGTTGCAGGTTGGGTTTGGGGCCTTGGATTTGGGGCTTGTCTGGGGCAGGGTCTTGGGTATGGGGCTGCTTCAGGTCTTCTAGGTCTAGTGTCAAAGCTGAACTACGTAGGCAAGCCCGATCAAGTTCCATGCTTTGCGCATGCCTTCAGTCGCGGACCAGCCACCTAAGGTTCTTAAGCGTCAAGTTCGCGACATTGCATGCGTTTTGGAAGTACTCGAACCACCAACTCGCAAGACATGCACTAACCCCCCAAACCCTGATTCCAGCGATTGTGAATCAAGGTAGAGGTGTCCCTAGCTCTCGTCCGGCTTTAGCTTGGGCTTCACATTTTGGGTCCGACACTTCAGTGGAGAGGAATTCATGTTCTGAGTGCTTCGGGGCCTGTCAGTTTGCATGAGAGGAGCCCGAGCATCACAAACTTCGCAACGGAACCTTCCCCATCCGAAACAGTGACTAAACCCCAAAAGGGAACCGAAAAGAGGGCCTCGAGGATCAGGGAAACCCACCAAAAGAAGCCCCGAAGTAGGCTTCGTCAGCCCCTGGAGCTCAATTTCAAAGTACAGACAATACAGAATAGCTGTTGTACAAGATAGAATGATGATTTTGTAGAATCAGAGTATAGTATAAATATAGTATAATCTGGGTGCCCTGCTCTCCACGAAAATGCCCGTGATGATGTTCATGACCCCAAGGACCTGTCAGGATCTGAGAAGGGTGCAAGACATAGGAGCCCAGTGGGAGCCGGCAGAGTTGAGTTTAGGCAGGTCTAGGCACTTCGGAGCCGCAAGTTCTCAGATCAGATGAAATCTGAACCTTGTTCGAAGAACCGGCTGCAACTGGAATCCTTCCTGAAGCGGGGACAGGGATATTTGTGGGGATGTTCGTGGATTCAAGTGCTTACAAACATTATCATTTAGTCGAAGCAAACACGTATCCTATGATTATTACCTTCAATCCGCAGACCCTAAAGCCTGCAATCCTCAACTCCTCAGTCCCTAGCCCTACATTATGGGTAGCCTGCACATCATGAGGCTCTTCTTGCGCCCCAGCCACTACCGAAAGGACTGAATATGACTTCAATCATCTCGAAACCGGCTGAGCCCTCAACCCCTGAATCATGACGGGCGTACCATGAGAGAGATGTACAGCACGAAGAGAACAGCATAGACCTCGGAGATCTCCAATAGAGGCCTGGCAGAAGCGAGCTGTTGTACTACGGGTTCTAAGCTGGGGCACACTTGCATCATCAGGTTTCATGCTTTAGGAGGCATGGGGGCTTCAAAAAACTGGGGACTGGTGTCTGACGTTCTTATGGGATCCAACTTGAGCTGCAACTTGAAGTCTTTGCGCTTCGGACTGGTGCAGCTCGGTCTGCGGTTCCTGCTTGTCCCGCGCCTTTTTCTGCGTAGAGCTGGCGCAACGACACAACTTATATGTTATATGTTCGATCAGGGTATGGTTCGAGAACGGGGTATGGGAGAAGTGGCCAAGGAACTTTCTGGCAAGGTCTGCGCCTGACGAGGTTCCACCAATCGTCGCCACCGGTAATCGCCATGAACAACGAGAAGGAAGCCATGGGAAAGGAGCTGTAGTACCTGGCCAAAGCTTCGCCTTCCGTGAAGGATTCCCGAGCCCAACAGACGTCGCCCTCCTTGTGCCTGCACCCCGAGATCCCTTTCTACGACTAGAACAAGCCCTCCATGCGCCTCCGAAGCTCTCCTTGTGCCAAATCCGAAATGTGCGGGACTCTGTGTCTGCGAAACAGCAAGTGCCCTCATCTTGGAATTTCAACTTTAGCGCTTATAATTATTGAAGGAAAGCCATGGAAAGACCGGGCCAAGCCACGTGCGAACACCTTCGATGCTCACGTTCGAGGAGAGGACGTCGTGGATGAAGCTGGTCACCCCTGCAGCGGACATCGACGGACACATTAGGACTGGGGGTTGCCGAGACGCTCGCACGAAGGGCTGCTGAGCTAAAGCAAAGAGGTGCAGAAGCCTGAGGCCCTTCATTTTAAGGCAGCCAAATTAAAAAGGAAAGTAGCAATCCCTGCTTCCTCGCAAAGATAGTGTCCAGACTAAGACTGACTAAGCATGCAGGAACAGCATCTGTCGTCCCAAGACAGACTTAGAGGTTCGACTTTCTCAGCCGGCCGATGCAACCAAACATCAGCAAACACTTGTGTACACAAGAATCCAAAGCGGCCTTGCAGAAAGACGATGCTGAACACACCGATGGTCAGCGCCAGGAACACGATCGCCCATAGTAGCGGGGCGATCGAGTTCATGATTGACCTTTGGAGCCACGGCCTACTCCCAGCTTACTGTCTTCTGGTTCAAGGGTCGACAGAGTCTGCGCGATTCCAGGCCGCAGCTGCTTCGCCTTCAATTGCTTCGGAGTATGCTTATATTTAGCCCTCTTGTTGCATTGACTGCTGCAGCAGGATAGGACAGTTTGTGGATCGGGCAATCTGTGCAGGGTTCTTGTCGCTGTCGGGCATGTCGTACCAGTGCCACTCAATGCTTCTTCACAAGCTGACCAAACCACGACAACAAAGGTGGCAGAGTGGTTCAAGCCGGGCATTGAAACGAGAGCATGGAGAAAAACTGCGGGTAACACAACCAACATCGCCATGACCCTGTTGGGTTACAACTCCGACTTGCTGTGCCTAAGCACAGACAAGCATCCCCAACGTGTATCAAGCCCAACCCCCTCCCTGGAATCGAGGTCTTGCAAGCAAGAAGACCGACTCAGAATGAAGATTCATACTTTCTGGTATAAACTTGCGGAATCTCCCGCACATGTACGACCTGCGACAACCTGGTGGCCAGGCTGCCGGCAGAAGCATGACACGCAGCTCACGGAAGAAGCGGAGCACACGGATGATGCGGAAGCTCCTGGGGAGCAAGCGTGATCTTGTGATTTCACGGAACTCGGGATGACTTCTCAGATCCAACCACAAGGGGGAGAGATCCCCAAAAGTTGAAGCCACGCCAAACCAACAGAAGTGTTGTCGTGAGGTCCTACCCTGCATAGAAGAGTCATAGAAGCCTCAAGGCCCCCATGAAGAAGCCTCAAGCCCCACATTTAGCCGAGGCAGCCTCAATGCACGAAGGAGTCGAAGAAGCCGGATATAGCCTCAGGAGCAGCATCAAGGGATCGAGCGCCCAGGCCATCATCACAAGTACCCTTCTTGTGTATTCTCACTGTACAGCTACAACTTGCGTGTATACGGTACATACCGCAGCGGACAGAGCCCTGCACTCGGCCATTTCCAAGGCCTGGGGCGTTCGCTCATGTCCAGTCCGATCAGCACCAGCACCGTGTCGGTGAGCATGGAGAGGACCTTGAAAGTAACACCATATGCACGGCACTGTGCACGTGACCCCAAACCAGATAGGTCTGACAGTGGCACTTTCTCTGCGCTTCTCGCTTTGTTTGCCGGCTTCAGGCTGCCAGGCTTTCGAACTCCGTCTTGCTTGAGGCTTCAAGCTGAAGAACTTGGAATCAAGCCCCACATTGCCCTACATACTACATTACTACATGCGGGAGCAGTTACAACCCTCAAGCCGACCCCGACATCTAAAACTGCCCTCACCCTAAACATCCCTTTTTCCGCAGGCTTGAACTGAGCTCGCCCGGCCAAGTCCCTCGCACCCTAAACATCCCTAAACCCTGAAACCCCTGAGCTCTGCAAGCGCCTCATGATTCTTGCATCTCGTGATCCAAGGTTCGCGCGAGGATGGTGTCAAACAAATTCCTCTGGAAGGCGCTCTTGCGCGGGCTTGCAGAATCCGGCGAGGGTTAATAGGGTTTGGGGTATGTTGTGCTTCGGAACCACCAAACAACCGAGACCACCAGGCTCCTCCTCTTGGCCTTCAGCCGACAGTGGGGGTCCGTGGCAAACTCTGAACCCCTAAACTCCTAAGCCGGGCACAAAACCCAACGTCTCCTCTCGAAGCTCGCTCAACACGGAGATACGCGGCGAGACTGACGCACATCTGAGCGGGCGGCCAGCGCCACTCCACGCCGACCCAGAAGTACCACTCCTCGTCAGATTTCGACAAGATGTTCCGTCTTGCTTTTGGGTCCGGCTTCGGTTCTTGACCGATAAACCCTACAGAATACTATAGAGGCCACCAGGCAACAGAGTTGTGGGAGGCCCTGAAGCGAAACGCTCGCCTCTGCGAGAATTCGCAGCAAGAGCTCCAGCGTGAATAGGCTGGTGAAGCTTATGTCCATGACTTCTTGCCTCGGATAAGGACAATCTGATCTAGCAACGTGTCTGCCCCAGTGGATCGAGACATGTCTAGACCAAGCCACGAACAAAGCGCTATGGCACATGAAACCCCTAATCCATGTAAGCTTTACTGAAGCACGGACATGTGCGCTGTCCCCTTCTGAGGAAACTGCCAAAGTGGCGGCGCAGTTGATCCCGAGTCGCGGCCTGTGCACACTCTGCAGCTCTGCAGCAGTCACCTTTCGGAATGACTTCGCTTACAGTAGGCCTTCCTTCTGAGGTGGTCTTTTCCCAGAGGTGCCAGAAGCAATCACACACTCCTTGTTGCAGCTTAGGCCTTATGCACTTAGCATCCCGTTTGCTTCATGTTTGAAGGGCTTTGTTCATCCTCAGAAGAGCCAGCCGGCACCGGCACCTGCAGACCGCGCGTCGTAGAACGCTGCCTGTAGTAGCTGTGCGAGCTGCGAGCGTCCGACCCGTAGTGTAACTCATGACTCTTCCTCGGGGACAAGTCTGTCTAAGAAAAAGCTGGAGTCAGGTGAACGATTCCAGAGGAGCTGTCGGGGAAATCAGAAACCATGGTCCAGGTTACGCTTCACAGCTCGAAACTCCTAAACGAATCGAAAATCAGAAAGATGCCCTTGAGTCGTGTCAGATTCGGCACCACAGCTCTTAAGCATAGCAGACTGCAGTCCCGTGAGTGGCCAACCATCTACGACACACCAATGCCACATCTTCTGGTTTGCCGCTTTCACCCATGGCAGAGGCGAGGAAATGACAACGACCAGGTGGCTAGGCTTCGGACCTCGTTCCTTGCGAGTCCTTTGCCCAAGACAAGCCATCTAGAAGCCCCGCAGTGAGTAGCGTGCTGGTCACATGACCTGTCTGAGGGGGACGAAACCACCCATGTATATTTCGACTTTGCCCCAAGGAGAGGCGTGACCCATGCAACCAACCATCCAACGGCCAAGAATGATGCGAAGATGCTTGCACAAGCTGAACAAGTTCGTTGGGTTTGCTGTCGCAGTGCTTTTTTTCACGCCAGTCTCTAAAAAATCCCGAGAAAGAACGCGACAGCCGGGGCAAGGGCTGCCCTTCGCACATTTTGGTCTGCGGTGATGCAAATGAAGATGGCATTCAGGGCGATCAATGCCTGGCACCGTCAGGAGCGTAGAGGGTGCCGTTGTCACGGGGAGCTGGAAGATAAACAAGCCAAGCAGATAAGCAGCTTGTTGAGGTAGAAACTAGAGGAACATGTTATGCAAAAGCAAACCAACATGTACGAACATGCTGTCATGTTAAGTTTGTGCTCGTAATTGTTTAGAAGGGGGCATGCAGGATCATGCAGGTACACGTTCATGCCTGCATGTCTGTGCATGCATTCAACACGTATGCATCCATGGAGGCAGGTGGGTGTTGGCTTGATGAATGAGTGCTTCATGCAGAACAACGCGTGCGAACACGCACTCGGGCAAAACCCAAACATTTTGAATGCTAGCTTGGCTTTGCAAAAGTCATCAACCAACCCAGATGCAGCACCTCAAATCCCCAGGCCGGTAGCCGGATGTTGTTAAATGAATGCACAAGTCCAGAGATGTGAAGCCTGCGCAAGCTACGCGAACACGTTGCGCCATAATGCTTTCAATCGCAGATTCGTGCTTGGATGACTTCCCGTCACTTCTGTGATTATGCTGGCACTGACTTTGCCTATTGATGGACTTCGGGAAGCGTGCGTATCGTGAGCATGTTCGATTCATTCTGAGCATGTTCTATTCGGCGTGCTGCCATGACTTAAGTGCGTCATCATATCATCAGAGGTCCCCGGTCTTTTGAACTCGCACTCGACCAGGTCAGATAATATGATAGATTCTGGAGCCCATCGGGTCGCCCCAAGCACTACCGATGGGCCAAGACTGTATATGTCAGTGCATCCACATCCAGCTCATAAGAACGGGGGCACTTGAACTTCAGTCCCTCTTCAGGTCCAACGTTAAGTCCTCAGCATGATGAAGGGGGAACCCTCTGAGAGACTGACTGCGGCAAGCCACAGCTTTTTCAGTGAAGCTACCTTTCTGCTACTGTGATCACCTTGCCGACGCGCTTGGAATTCCTAGAGCTGAGAGATATACGCGCGCCTTTGAAGCGGAAAGGTGCCATTTTGTATTGTAGACTGTGCTGCGACGAGCATGCAACTTACCGGAGGGAGCAGTGCTCTGTGAAATTCCTCGTTGTCAAAGTTGTCGAACGCCAATGCGATGAAGCGAAGCTGCAGACCGCGAGACACCGGAAGTGGGTCCGAGGATCCTAAGCCTTACACAGAGGACTCAAGCGTCACCCCGTAGAGCCCAAGATTAGACCAAAAACCAGGACTGAGGAAACCAGGAGCCCGTCAACCAGGATCCCGGAATAAGCAATCCAGACTCATAACCCCACATGACATATGCCGGTGGCACCATGACGGTGCCCACGAATGCCCGACTGCGAACGAACCTGGCGCTCTCTGTTCAGGCTTTCGCTTTTCGGGATCCTGTTGTCCTGTTTTTCAACTACATGCCTGTAGCGAGCCGTGTAGAGTTGGTGGAAGGCTTGTCTGCAAAGTTTGAAAGCGAACCTGGGCGCCGCTGTTGTGTCATAGTGTGAAATCAATTGTTCCAAGCCCGCAAACAAATACAAGCTGGCGTAAACACCGAGTCCGGGAGCCTTGTCAAGCTCTGCTCTGTTGGAAGCTTTGACAGAAAGGTCCATCGTGATGCTGCTTGGGAGTGCGGGCTCAGTTGGGACCACGAAGACTTCGCCGCGGCAAGAGCTTGCAAATTCGGATTATCAATCTCTCAGAGCTCACGGGGTTGGCCGCGGAGGTTTTGGAGCAGGGCAAAGAGGCATAAAAAGCAAAGTCACACGAAATGGCAGTGGAGGTACGGGACCGGGGTGCACCAGGCGCGATCTTGTGTTGCAAGGGTACAGGAAAACCAATTCCACATTGCTGATCCTGATTCCCGGATTCCGTCAGTCCTCCAAGAATCCTAAAACACGGAAACCTCCTCCAAGCCTTCTAAACCCTAAACCCTCAACCCTATCAGTTTTAGCTTCATAATCTGCCCGGGCCTCAGAAGCTGCGGGCAACGTGTGTTCGGTGCCGCCATAGGTTCCAGATCCAGGCCTCCGAGGCCCAGGAGTAACGGCTCAGGATGAGACCAAGTGCTGATATACCAAAGCGTATGCGCAGGGATGCACAGGTATGCTCGTGTGCAAATGTCTGCAGAGGCTGCATACATATATACACACATGATCTATGTTCATGCCAACTTTGTTTTAACTGAGTGCTGTGTAAACCGAGTTGATCTAAAGTGATCTGGTGGACTTGTCTCTTATACTTCAACATGACTAGACTGAAATACTATAAATGAAGCGTGTTCCAATCGCTGTCATGTAACCATGAAATAATGTGTCATTCAACTTCTTGTACCATGTGTGATGCAACTGACTTCGACTAGCTACTGGTCATCTAAGTCTAAGCTGTCTATTCATACTTGATTCTCTTGCATGTGTTAGCATATCGATGCCTTGAGCGAAGCATTGCCTTGACACAGCATGCTCTGTAGCGGCTGCAGCAGGCAATAGCGCGAATAGTTGGTTGATGCTTTGCTTCCAGCCTGCCGGGTAACAGACCTATCGCTTTCGACCTCTCTTGCCCAGATAATATCTGGAACGACACTTGCTTCTGAGAACGCTCGGCTTCTCGTCGACGTAGTGAATTGATACCCTGACTAGTGGAACTTCAAAACTTGTGCATGTTCGACATTGTCCTTATCCGAAGCCCCTTGGTGCAGCCCAGAGCTCTCATACCCGAGTATACCTCAAAAGCCTAAGCTCTCCCAACCGTCCATGCCCCAAACCCTGCACAGCCGCCAAGGTCCCTGCCACTGTTCCTCAAGGCCTTGCGGAAGGCCTCTGCAAGTCGCAAAGCTCTACAGGCCTTTCTACATCTATAGTCGGCTAACATGCGGGTTTTTTCAGTAGCCTGAGCCCTTTGCTTTCGTACAGACCGGCTGGGGTGAGACCCCGTGACGACTCAAGGTATGATGTACTCCTCCGCCGAAAAAAAATCGAAGCTTCAACATTTCGTCTCGTGCTGTTTCTGGTTCCCTGGAGTCGCACGATTGGGACATGGTCTGTCAAGCCTACACCCAGGTCCAACATATCATCAGACGATATATAGACTTGACTTCTACCTTCCTGGCGGCCCCTCCATGCTGCCCCTCGGAGACTCGGCCAAACCGAAAATTCTGAGACGCCCTGATCAAACCCGGAGGGCTCGAGGGTAGCAACGGCAGAAAGGCCAGGGTTGCTCACAAGTAGCCCTTCCACCCCCGAAAGACTTCGATTCAGAGCTCGCCATGTCTGTCATCAGCGGGCATGCCTTCTGGATGGGATTGCCATCCACCTTTCGAGCTTCAGAGTTTCGGCGCCGGAGACACATATCTTTGGTCTGGATCTGGCTGGCTGGAGGGGTGAAGCATGCAGATACGATAGTGTGATTCAAACGGTTCTCCAGCCTCAAGCTACAGCTGGATTTTGCAAATTCAGAACGTGGAAGTTACAGATGAATCGAAGACGCCCAAGGGATGGAGGAATTGGCTTGGTAGGGTTCATCAATACCGGCCTCGGCAATCTCAGAAAGGTAGGTTCGCTTGTGAAAGGGTTGAGGGGTTGCCTGCCTTTGCAGTCATCCACAAAGCTTGGCAGGAGCGAGTACATGTGAGACCGGCTGCTTGATGGCGGCTGTGCGCTCCCCTGCTTTCTGTCATCAAACTCACCCGGCACCTTGTCTGCCAGGCGATTGAAGGCCTCGTGCGTAGCCTTGGGCAGTCTCTGCAAAGAGGCCCTTCTACACTGTTTGCCTTGCTTTTGAAAGTCTTGACTTAGTGAAAAAGGCGTCCACGCCAAGACCGCGTGTCAAGCTCTC